TTTATATATTTTGATATCTTTTAAAAAGTTTCATGGATCAGACTACGCCTTGGTAAAGTATAATATTGTTTCATACTTCACAAAATTAGTTATGGATGATGGTAAAGGGAAGCCTTACTCTAAAACTGGTTCGGCAGTTCAGTTCACTTCGGTAAGCTAGAAACACATATGTAATATGTTTGTATGTGTGTCTATTAAATAAAGTGGGTTCCTATCTATTTTACTTTTGAACTTTTGTACATAAGAATTTATTCAGTACATTTATAATTACATAATGTAACAAATTGCATTTTACTAGCTGTTAGATTTGCAATTGATACTTCTAAGAAGGCCTAATTTGAATTTCTTTTCTCATTCCGACTTTACAGTATGCAGACCTTTGGCCTTTATGACATTAGTGCTTTTAGGTCTTGTTGGCATTAGCATTTAAATTATCTTGCACCAGTCTTTTTGCCCATTCAACAAGTGCATTTTACATTTGTTTGTGTATTTAAGCTTACTTATCTCTGATTAACAATTGCAATATGTATGAGATTCATGATGTACGGAGAGAAACTGACCGGTTTTCTGTTGAATGTGGCAGACAGAATACAAGAGAATTGTATCACCCCTCAAGTACCAGACCAGGTGTGTAGCTGCTTTCCCTGATCAGCAAGGTTTCTTGGTAAGTTTCCCTGTATTTGAGTTTTTCATGCCCATAATCTTTATATATATATATATATATGTATGTATATATATATATATATATATATATATATATATATATATATATATATCACTAACATCTTAAGGCGTGAAAAATACTTTCTGAGACTCTCATATTGCGCTATGTCATCAAAAATTAATTTCATTTTTATATTATTGTTATTTTTTTATTTATGTTAATTTTATTGTTATTTTTATCTTTAAAAAATTGTACAATATTTACAATAAATATTTTTAACCTGTATAATAAACTAATAAATCATTTGTATTTATTTATTAGTTAATTATTACAAATATATAAGGTTTACTGATGATATATTTTGTTTATAAGTGAATCCATATTATGAATAAATATATAATGTTTATGAATAGATAAATATAAAATATCAGAGTTTTCACATATATATAAGTTTTTATTTTTATATGTTTAAGTAGAATATGAATAATAAGTAAAAAGGTAATTTTTTATTATTTATTTTCGAAAATAAATTACTTCAAATATAATTTAATAATGAATTGTATTATATTCTATATGTTCATTTCTCATCGCTAGTTAGTTTAATTTTTGAAAAATTCAACCTTAAAGGTGGGGGTAATGAATAATTCCATGTCGTAACTAAGGAATCACTAATCACATGGAGATAGGTTTTGCAATTTTCATTGGAACCTCTAAATTATACCAATCAAGGCACTTGGAATGATCCCCATAGATATTTCCTGAACTTGTCATCTTGACAAAGATAGCACTTTCCTTCTCAAAGATTTTACCTTTGCCTTTTCATTGGAACCTCTAAATTATACCAATCAAGGCACTTGGAATGATCCCCATAGATATTTCCTAAACTTGTCATCTTGACAAAGATAGCACTTTCCTTCTCAAAGATTTTGCCTTTGCCTTGCTCATGAATCATTCTGGTATCTACTTTTCCAAACCTGTTAGAGAATGGCTATTCAATTCCGATGTTATTCTATCATACCAATCAAGCTATTAGTGCTTATGTTGCATTGTACTCGATGTTGGATTCTATAATTCTTGTCTGCACATTTCTATTTAGTATATTTTAACATGTAAGAGGGTCAAGAAAGTTATCTTGTAAAGGAATGTTATGTGAATATTTTCTGATTTGCAATAATGATGAAGCGCATAAACCTAATACATTTACACTTGGACATTTTTTTAGGTTGGATCAATTGAAGGAAGAGTTGGTGTACATCATCTTGATGATAACCAAGCAAGTAAAAACTTCACTTTCAAATGCCACAGGGATGGCAATGACATTTACTCAGTCAACTCACTAAATTTTCACCCCGTAAGATCTTTTAATGTTTACATGTTTATCAAATTGGATAGTTTATCATTTGCTATTGATGCTCCTTTTCCTTCTTCACGCATTTACCTTCATGGCTTAAATTGTAAATTCAACCAGTCCTGATAGATTATAGTCTATACTCGTGTTTTGCTGGCAAAGAGGAGAAAAGTTTATTTGCTTTTCGCCTGTGGTATACTAGAAATAGAAGTGACAATCAAAGGACAATAAAAGCTGATTGCTTATGAAATACTTCATATACTTATATATTCTGGAGTTCATCAACTTCTGTATGAAATTATGAATGCTTGAAGTAATATCAAATAGGTCAACATATGGTTCTTCTTGGAAAAGTACAAATGTCTGTTATATCCTTTCTTACAAATAGGAAAAGTTTATCAATTTCTCATCGACTCATCCACATTCGATTTCTTATTATTATTCATTGAGAAGAATGATACCATCATGAAACATCATCTGTTAGGCACTGTAAATCTTGTAGGAGCTTATTGACTTTTAAGTGCTCTTATATGATGCTACAAAGAGCTAGTCAACTGATTCATCTCCATCTTCTTTTATTTACTTACTTTGTAAATTTTTCCTGTTTATGTGGTTTTTTGTCGATTTTTTTTTTACACAAATTTTTTTTGCCTGAAATTTGTTTCATTTTTTTTTGCTTATCTTACTAAATTAAGCTGTTTCTTTTAGATGGTCTTTAAATATTTCCTGATTCGTGGGTTAATTGCTTCCTATTTTGTCAAAAGTATATTCAATTAATTTCTGTAAGTTCTTTCTGAAACGGTTTATATTTTTGCAACATCTCAGATACACCATACATTTGCGACCGCTGGGTCTGATGGGGCCTTTAACTTTTGGGACAAAGATAGCAAGCAGAGGCTCAAGGTATAAAACATTTTTCCGCTTCAGTTTGCAAAGGCTTCTTATGTAGGTCTGATCTCAGTATTTTCAAAATTTCCTTTGTTTTGTTTATTTAGGCTATGCTGAGGTGCAATCAACCAATACCTTGCAGTGCTTTCAACAATGACGGCTCCATCTTTGCATATTCGGTACATTATATGTTGCTATTTCTTGTAAATGTTTTTTACTATCTTCGAAAAAATCACTTACTGTAACTTTAGCTTAAATTCAAAAAATTCTCTTCTCAAAGCTACAAGTATATCCTGCTAAAGTGTTATAAGGGAATACTTGTAATTTCTAAAGAGAACTAGCTTTATACAAATAGGCCATACCTTGGATGGACATCAAGTTCTGACTGGTGGTTATCCTCAACTATAATTTTCACACGAACTTTACATAGTTTGGACTTTCTAGTCTGTGTTAGCAATTTATGATAAAAATGAACATAAAATGGATGTGTGAATTCAGGTGTGTTATGACTGGAGCAAAGGCGCTGAGAACCATAATCCATCAACAGCGAAGACCTACATATACCTACATCTTCCTCAGGTAATCTTATTCAAGTATAACTAAAGCTTATTTTCGTTTTTTTGTTTCTTTTCNGTTTTTTTTTTTTTTTTTACCTGAAATAATACTTCTGCTGTAAGTTATATAACTGCATGAATTCGGCATCAATAATTGCAGGATGCTGAAGTTAAAGCTAAACCACGTGTTGGAACTAGCGGCAGAAAGTGAAAGCACACTTAAAAAGAACTTCTCATTTCAGATGGATCAAAATCATATATTCTTATGCATTAGTAGTCTTTGTCTTGCCATAACTGCTGAATCATACTTTATTTTGTTTCTCTGAATCATAACTCCATTAGTTGTTTTGTTTGATACTATAGTCCACAAGATATAGTTTCGTCTTTGAAGTTGTAAAGCGGAAAAAGCATTTGTTGGAAGCTGAAGATACCAAAGAGTGTTTTGTGTGAAAAAAAAAAATCATAAGACGGAGGAATTATCGAAGTACCATTTATTTACATGTTTGGGAACAACAGTAATGTACAGTATAATAATATGTGGAATGACCAAAAATGTGTGTTTGACAAGCTAGAAAACACTTGATAAAGGGGTACTTTACTAAATTGTCTTTAATAAGTAACTAAAAATTGGCTTTGATGAGGGTGTAAGTGCCAAATCAATTGAGTAGCTGAAGTATCTTACCTTGGAACCATGATTGATAATCATAGCATAAAAATAGCATTTCATGGGCTTTATAGATAGTTTTTCAGCCCTTTAATATATAATTAATCTACTAGTACAACTAGTGTTGAAACTCGTGCGATGTATGTGGTGCAATACAAAAAATATTTTTTATTTAAATATTATAAAATTATTTATAGACAATATGAAATTATATTCTTCATAATATTCTATTCAGTAATAATATGACATTTATTTATTTACCATATCGTTAATTTCTATTTATATATTTATTTACCATATTGTTAATTTCTATTTATATATATATATATTGTAGTTTTTGACTATTTAATATATAAATTTTATTATTTATAAGTTTATAAAATATTATAAATGCCTAAGATCGTATGATATTTGCATACAAATTAATTGTATGTATTTATAAAACTGTCATTTATCATAGTCTTATAAATTTTTTAACAATTCATAATTTGCACATTGCTTGATAATTGACCAAATGTTTAATTCATAATATTTATCTTCCGCTATAATTATTAAGTGCATTACATGTTAAAAACTTTGATAAATAAATTTTAATTTTTAATAACTTTAAATCTTATGCAACATACAAATTTTTTATGGTTAAATATTTTATTTTCATGTTTCCATTTTTTATTTATATTTATTTCTTTAATTCATTTTTTCAATCTATATAATGAGTTACAAAGTATCTATTCGAATATTTAGATTTTTATTATATATTTTTATAATTACCAAGTGATATAATTTAATTTATTATACATGTGCTTTTTTATTAACTTATTTTTCATTTATAAAATAGTATATAAGAAAAAAATATATTTTTAAAAATTTAATAGTTTTTTAATGTACATAGATATTTCTAAGGTGAATTTATAATTCTGAATTGCACCAGACCATCAATTTATTTTTATTAGAATATTATTTAAATTTTCAATAGTATTATCACTACATATGATACATTCAATGGGGATGTACCTTCTTAGAGTTAAATTGCATAGTTATTCTGATTATTTTATTAAATACTTTAAGTACTTCTGAATACTGAATATAATTAATTAAATTAATACCTACAACCATAGATGATAATATATTAATCAAATCAATTTCTATAATAATTTTTTGAATTGTGTAAATAAATTACAATTAAATTATAAGATCTTATTGAAATTATATCTAGCAAATCTACGGTCAAATTTCAATTTAAGCTAATTTGTAGTTAATGAATAATATTCATTGAGTGTATAAAAATTAATTATGTTTTCTATGCATAAGATTTGCTAATAAATAAATATTAATTAAATGTCAAATATAGACGAAAAAGTTTCCCGCCCAAAATCATGTCAATTATGACAATAAGGATTGATCCATTATATAGACTAGTGTTGATAACCGTGCGATGCACGGGTACCTTGCAAAAAATAATTTTTATTTAAATATTATAAATTATTTAAAACAATATGAAATTATATTCTCCACAATATTCTATTCAGTAATAATATGAGATTTATTTATTTATTATTATTGTTAGTTTCTATTTATATATATATTTGTATTTTTTTACTATTTAATATATAAATCTTATTATTTATAAGTTTATAAAATATTATAAATGTATATGATTATATGATATTTGTATACAAATTACTTGTATGTACTTGTAAATTGTCATTTATCATAGTCTTATATTTTTTTTCAACAATTTATAATTTGCACATTGTTTGATAATTGACCAACGTTTAACCCATAATATTTATCTTCCGCTATAATTATTAAGTGCATTAAATGTTAAAAACTTTAATAAATAAATTTTAATTTTTAGTAATTTTAATTCTTATGCAACACTCAAATTTTAATGGTTAAATATTTAGTTTTTGTGTTTTCCTTTTTTATTTATATTTATTTTTTAAAATCATTTTCTCAACCTATATAGTGAGTTACATAGTATCTATTTGAATATTAGATATATTATATATTTCCATAATTATCAAGTGCTATAATTTAAATTATTAGACATTGCTATTTATTAACTTATTTTTCATTTATAAAATAATATATATTTTAAAATGTTGAATAGTTTTGAATGTACATAGATACTTCTAAGATGAAATTTATAATTCTGAATTGCACCCGACCATCAAAATTTATTTTTGTCAGTATATTATTTAAATTTTCAATATTATTATCACTGCATATGATACATTCAATGAGGATGTACTTTTTTATAGTTAAATTGACTACATTTCAGAAACTTTTATTAATATTTTAAATTATTTATTAAGTTAGTATGATTTAAACATAGTTATTCTGATTATTTTATTAAATATTTTAAGTACTTCTGAATATTGAATATAATTAATTATTCAAATTAATTTTCATAATAATTTTTTAGATTGTGTCAATAAATTATAATTAAATTAATATAAGATCTTATTAAAAATATATCTAATAAATCTACGGTCAAAATTTCAATTTGAGCCAATTTGTAGTTAATGAGTAATAGTAATTGAGTGTATAAAAATTAATTATGTTTTTCATGCATAAGAGTTGCTAATAAATAAATATTAATTAAATGTCAAATATAGACGAAAAAATTTTCCTCCCAAAATCATGCCAATTATGGCAATAAAGATTGATCCATTATATAGGTATAGATATAGATATAGATACCCGTGTACTACATGGGTACTTGTTAAGAAAAATATGTTTAAAATTAAATAATAATAATAATAACAAAAATTGTTTTCATTTTTAAATACTTTGTGAAAAAAGTATATTATTATTTATATTTAAAATAATATCGTTACTTACGCGAGTTACCATTTTATATTATAATTTTTTTAATTTATATAAGATAACTTTGTTAGTTAAATTAGTTTAAATAGTTTTACTTTTTGAATTAATATTAAAAGATAATTTAATTTCAATTATAAAGATAAATAAAATTATTTATTTAATCTATACGTATAATATGGATGTCAAATCGAAGGTCATCAGGACATGATTAATTTTATATATTATATATAAAAATTTGTTAATAAATAAAAGATTGTTAACTTTTAAATATATTTACAATTTAAGTTAGTAAATTTGTTATAATTTTAAAAGAAATAATGATAAAAAATTATACTTTATAAATCACATCTACATTAGAAAATAGTATTAAAACATAATTAATGTTCTTAAATGGGACCATAAATATCCAGTATATTTATAGATATTCTAAACCTAGTTACTTTTGGATTAGAAATAAATTAAAACTCATCCAAACCAAACAATAAAACTTAAAAATTTGCCACATAGGATCCCGAAGCGTGCGAGTCTATCACTTAAGCTCAGGCTCAGCACCTTCGAAAATTATATATATGGAGATTTTAAAAGCTAACTAAAAATAGTTTTATTTTTGAAGCGCAAAATCTTGTTGATGTGTCAATATAAAGTTTACATTTATGGCGTGTTAATTTTATTTGATATGGGTATGAAAGTCGTATTTTAGGTTGATTTGTTATAAAATGAAGGTGATATGATTTTCAAATTTTTGCATATTTCTCTAATAACTTGCCATAAGATATTGATAATAATTCGAAAAATTGGTATGTATTCCTCTTAAACATCAGAAACATACTTGAACAAATATTGGTTAATAAAATTTAAAATTTAACGAAAATAAATCTAGAAAATTGTGAGATAATATATATAGAATTTATTGTGTAGTCTAAATTTGACTTCCAAATTTTAAAGGCCAATAAGTAATTATTTATAACTTACGGGTCAATATAAACTTAGACAATATTAACTTAGACATTTACGGAATAGTCAGTTACTTATAGTTTAATAAATTACTCAACTACTTAAATTTTTTTTATTTTGATAGTTTAAACAAAAATAAATTTATTTTAATTATTGAACAATATAATTTTTTTAATTATACTTATTATTCACATGAATTTTGAAATATATGATAACATTTTACGAAAATAGTTATTTTGCGGAACCGCATTGTAGTCAAATTGAATTTTTGAATAAAAATTTTCAAATGACACTTATTTTGAAATGAATATAATGTAATTTATTATCAGGTATGTGCACCATATGAGTTGTGATTAATTTTAAATTGACCTATTTTTAAAATGACATTTATTTTGAAATAAATATAATTTAATCTATGAAGGAGGTCAAAGACCTAGCTACGGACCCGACGAGGGTAGGAAACTCCCATGATATCGTGGCTTAGCCAGTAACGAAGCCCATCTGGGGGAGTATGAAGCCTATGGAAACCAACCGAGAAAGATGAAGCAATGCCCGCTAGATGATCAACCGCTAATTTATTATCAGTTACGTGCACCATACGTGTTGTGCACAAATTTTAAATTGACATGTTTTATGTAATTTTGCATGATATAAAATTAATATAATATTTTCAATAAATTAATATAGGTAAATTGTATTACATATTTATTCCATATATTTAATTTATAAATATTATTTAATGAGCATTTTTAATT